GGGGAGGAGAGGCAGAGGTGGGGGCACAGTGAGGGATGGCATGAGCAGGGACTGAAACAGTCTCCACTCACACGGAAAAACTTTTCCGTTAAAAGCATTTGCGGAAATCATGCCAGTCTAGACACAGCCTGGGAGTTTGATTCTGCTCTATCTTGAGTGGTCTGCATAATAGAAGGAAAATTGCACCATTTGGTTAGCACCTTACACTCACTTTCCATACGAGTAAATGTCTACACAAGTAAAAGGCAGTTGAAAAGCAGTTCATAAGGTATCTGGAATAAAGTCTAGTGGAAAAGCACTGTTAGTGTCACTGAATATATGTCATTCTGAAGGTTTCTGTAACATCCATCAACTTGTAGAAGCTTTAGTGATGCTGATACTTCCTCTGCTAAATTGTTCAAGTGAACATCACTAACGCACAACAATATTAAGTACACCTGAGGATTCTAGCTTCAGTGTCTGTTTTACTAACCTATTTTCTCCAGTTCCCTCTGGGTAGGAGGAAGTAAGTGAACGGGTATTTGAGTTGAGCATTAAGCCTTCTGGTGAATACTTGCAGGAGGTGTATTCTCAATTGTGGCTGTGACCTGTCTTTCTCTCCATGGAAAGTGGACCCCTGTCGTGCAAAGCCACAGTTGATAGTGCTAATTTAAGCACAGTGTTTTCCATGTTAGCTTTTGTACCTGGAGTGGATAAACAAGATCTCCGTGGCAACCTGTTTTGTTTCCTCCCATCTTGATGTCAAAATTTAGGTTTGTTTTATATTGTTTCATATTTGCATTCTATGCTGACAGAATGAATCTCAGATTATACATAACAATAATGCTATACCTGTATAGTTAGAGCTTTCAAGAAGGAAAACAGATTAAATATCCCTTAAAACCCAGCCATTTGACAAGTAATCCTCAGTAGATTCCTGAGTAACCACAATTTCCTGAACTTGTGCTCTCTGAATTTCTTAGCCCAAAGCAGGGGTATGAACAAGAAGCCAAGTAGATGATTTACCAGTAAGCCTAGGCTACTTGCATTTCTTCCCCCTACCTTGGCTGTGTCTGTATCAGAGGCAGCATGGTGGGGAGGGGGGAGCAGGAGCTGGTGCTGCCTGCCCCTCCCACCTCCCTGATAGAAGCAGCGGGGGGGGGGGGGGGAGGAGCTGGCGGCTGCCAAGGAGCCCCCACTCCCACCTGCGGCAGGCCCAGGCAGGCTGCACGCAGATGCTGTTTCACAGCAGCAGCCCCTGTCCACAAGGATCTCAGCTCCCTGTGGACAAAGGCTGGAGCAGCCGCTGTTTGTAGGGAGCTTAGACACCCCCCTGCAGACAGAGGCTGTTGCCACCCCGTGCTGCTATCTTTTTATCTGAAGCAGCAGTGCGGGGTGCCAGGCAGGAGCTGGTCCACGAGGGGAACCAGTTTAAAAATGGGCTTCCCTGGCACTGCTGCTTCTGATACAAAGGCAGCAGTGTGGATTCCAGGGGGCTCCTTGGGAATGGGGATTGCACTGGCTGCTGGCCCCAACCCTGGGGACTATAGAGTAGTCAACTAACTGCTAAGAATTTACACGGTTCATGTGGCTAGTTGACTATTCTGTTACTTACCATCCTACATCCCTAGTCCACAGTGGTGGTAGTACCACGCAAAGATCTTAAATAACTTTACTGATTAACGTGGAACTTCGTTTTAAGATGACTCTAAAGTGCAAATTTCAGTAATCCGTGTAAGAACTAGAGGAGAAATCTGGAATGATGCCAGATTTGGAAAATGTTCTACAGGTCCTTGAATAGATACAGGAATGTTACAGTACGGTAGTTGAACTATTAGCTCACACCCTTTTTCCTGTTGTGTTAAAGTAATGCAGCGAAACACTTAGGCCAGGTCTACACTGCAGAGGGCAGGTTGGGGGGGGACACATGAGGAAGGTGAGTTTAAGGTATGCAACTCCAGCTGTGTAAATGAGGTAGAGGAGAGAAATGCTCCCATTTGCTTCTCGGTTTCGTGAGGACTAAGGGGGGATGCTTGTGCTGACTGGAGGTGCCCAGGGCCTTCAGTTTAGAGGTCTTTACTGGACCGACTGACTCAGACCCCAGAAAATCAATCACCAGAGTGTTGATCTGCCAGTAAGTGGAGATATGGCCTTAAACAGACTCCCTGGTATAATCTGTCATAGAATATCTGTTGCCATGCTTGTGACCTGTCCCTTTGAATTTTTTGATCTTATGATTATCTTCTTTTATGACTAATCAGATTGCAATTGAGCTGTCCCCTTCCTTGGTGGAGAAGGAGTGGGTTAAAGAGCAAGTTCACTTGTATGAACATCTCTTGCCCTGCTCACAAAAGGGAATTAATTGGGGAAATTAATTTCAAATGAATATCTATTGTCATGAGAAGATGTGGGTTTTGCCCATGAAAGCTTATGATACAACATATATGGTGGGGTTTTTTGGTTGGCCTCTAAGGTGCCACAAGACTACTTTTTTATCTGCTACATGGAATTAAGTGTCTGTACTATGCTGCTTTTAAAAACGCATGACAAAGAAATATAAAGCCTATATGCATCCAAAGGGTTATTATATAATAGACCCAATTGAGGTATTTAAAAGCATTTTGGTGGCTATGAAGGGAAGAGGTTTCCCTGAAGTATGAGTGAAAGTTTGTAGATGGGTGGAAAATTTCACTTGAATAGAAAAGCTGAAGTGGATGCCTGAGTGCAAGGAACTTTCCAAACATTAAACAAATGTAAACATGCAAATGTGATAGCATGTTCTGAGGCACTATAAATGCTTAATGGAAAACTAAAGATACAGTTTCTACCCCAAAGCACTTAGAATTTACAAGTTATCTTACTCATAAGGATTAGTAGGAATGTTATCTTCCTGAGGCTGGAAATTGCTCCAAGACATTTCTTTGAGTGGTAAAGCTAAAGGCAAAGTGAAATTTAACACAACTGGATTCAGTTTCAATGTTGCCTTTCAGAATTTTGTGGATAGTGTAAATGCGAAGAGTCTTGTCATTCTCATGCTGCCACTCAAAGCTGAAGACAGCAGAGCTGAATGCTGCAGATTTTGGGGGGAATATAAACTGGTCAGCCTACCAGCGGCCACCTGATCAGCTCCTTTGCTGCTGGAGAACAACTGTTA